ATTTTAATATGTAGGTCGTCATTATTTATAAAATTCTACGTTCGCCACCAAGACTTAGTCTTTTAAATTGTGAACAAAAAGTGTACTTGACAATTTCAAGAAATTCAACAATATTGGAGATTGTGTTAAACGTCATTGTAAGCTAAGCGTCATTGTAGTTACCAGATACGATGACTTCAATTTCTTCACTCTCATCAATTCCATCAATTCTTGTTGCTTTGCAAGTGTACCTCCCCGCCTGGTTGAGCTGAATATTGCTTAAATTCAACGTTGCAATGTATGAGAATGGATTCTTGGAGTACTCCACTGCAATATACAAAAGTTAAACATTCACTTTTTAAACAAATAAATGATTCAGAATGGTTAAAAATAGTCAAGTTTGTTCAGTAAAGATATTGGTTTCAACAATTGGATTACATCCAACCGATACAGTAAATATATGGCTAACATTTGTGGTATTTTCACTACAACTAGCAACTTGGACAAAGTTATCAATAAATATTTGTTTTGTATATATAAATACATAACCTCTGGATACCTAGTGTGGGGAATCATTATGCCCGCCATCGACTGCGAAAGGATAATGAGCGGGAAAACGAGGAAGCTGAGTAGAGCAGAGTAAAATAGTTTTATCCTTCCACTAAGAAAGAGTTTTACTGAGAACAAGTATTTGCCTTCCAATATTAGCGAGCTTAGCGGAGTGAGCTAGACGGCGGAAAAGTAAAAAAATCCGTTTCAGTTTGTGTTTTGTGTAAAAAAAAATCAGATTCAATGTTTTAAGATATAGTAAACGCTATGAATTTTATTTCATCCCATTTTCTGCACCCTAACATCACTGAATAAATTAGGGGAAAAATTATTATAGGAAAGTAGTAGTCTTAAAATATCACAAATCGCTGCCCTTCTGAGCACGTTACATCCCTACACTACCTACATATTGCCTTCGTGGAGTCTGCTCAAAACTAGCGCCCGACGCGCGACACAATGACATAGCGGACTCATCAAAGCGGTGGAAGCACTTCCAGGAAATTTATTGTTGCGAGTCAAAGGGATACCGTAGAGACTCCTCTGGAAACCCGCTCTACTCTGCTACCTCTTTTGTAACTCTTTCAACTCACTCAGTCCGCTCCGCTCACTCTTTGCGATGGAAGCACTCCTATGAAGATTACCGTTGCGAGTCAAACGGAGCTTGCTCCGCTAGCAGTGGAAGTTGGGATTAGTATTTTCTTGGAGGGTACTAGAATGTTAATGTCCTAAAAAGTGGTTGCCCTGGTATAGCACAGATGCGGGTTCGTGTACTGTCAGATCGAATGAATTTTTCTTTGTGTTCGATCTTTGTATTAATAATTATATAAATATGATCACGGTAGTAGAACATCTTAATATTAATTATAATATATATTATGTTAAAGTCCTAGAAAACTTACCATTGTCAATAAGAGGTTCATCATTTCTGAACCATGTCAAATTGTTATCAAAATCATAGACAGAAGCCAGACATCTAATCTCAACATTTTCATTTTCAGGGTACCAAGTATGATTAGCATTTTCTATGCCAAAACCTCCAGGCATCTCTTGAACGAAGAATTGTCGCGTAGAATTGTCACTACCGTACTCATTAGTCGCCTTGCAAGTTATATTTCCAGAAAGACGTGCCTCTATCTTTAGTTCAGACGTGATCTTGTAAATTTTATCTACGCGGTCTATTTGCAGGCTCTAAAAACAAGGAAACTGGTCAAATATGAGATACTTCGTGCTTAAAAGTATATTAATAATCCTGTCCCATTCAAAAATTCAAAATTAATCTTAGGTCATGGGAGAGGCGAGAGTCTAAAAGAGATATCTAAAATAATAATAATATTCAGCCCATATATAGTCCAACTGCTAGGCACAGGCATCCTCTCACAATGAGAGGGTTTGGGCTGCAGTTCTCACGCGGGTCTAATGCGCATTTAGAACTTCACAAACATCATTAAATTGCCTTGCAGATGTGATTTCTTTTATGAGTCACTTGGACTAGACAAGTCGTGGGTGGCAGTAAGCGACACGCATAATAACTGCAATGCCACTCAGAGCTTCAAATTGTAAAGATCGGAAAGATATTGCCACTACGCCAGTCATCCTGTGACATAAGCCGGCAAGTCCCGTGTGGATGTAATTTCACCAGCACCTTTCAAAACCGGAACGAAGTAATGCTCACTTTACTGCTTGGTGGCAGAAACGGGTAAGGTAACAGTACCTCCCTGGACGGAAACTTTCACAAGGAGCTCTATTGTTACATACTGTGTGCAGGTTTCCTCACGATATTTTTCTTCATCGATAAGCTCATGGTAAATTTCACGACACTCTGCTTGAGAGGCGGTAGGTCAAACCGTTACACTACCACGGTTTATGAGTAATACTCGTTAAATAGGAAAAGAACTCAATGACTCAAAAAATCGAATATCAAATGTGAAATTGTTTTTTAAATTTTTTAAAAATTTGTCTGCTGTTTATGATTTTAGTGCTATAATTAGGTAAACAAGGTCTTCACTTCACTTTACACCTTTAATATTCGATCAACCAGAGGATAGTGTTAACATTTAATTTAACTTAGCAAAAATATATATGAGAGGTGCGAACTCGCTCTTTACTTACTTTGATATAAGTTTCATTATTAAATTCATCCGTGAAAATCCAATCTATATTGGGTAAAGGATATGCGATTACTTCGCAAATCAGACTTACTAATGAGTGCAGCATTACTGTTTTGTCAGGTTCTGGGATTATTTTAGGAGCACCTGTAAGGCAAATTATACGTTAATAAATAAACCAACAATAAAGCTATGAAATGGGCCCATAAAACAAATAAAAATTGTATTATGTTCACAAGACACTGATTATATAAATCTTCCATGGGTTTGCCTAAATAAATGTATAAAGACAAACGCTGTAGTAAGAATATTACCTCTTAAACGGACATCAAAAGTGAGAGACTTTGTAACTTTGTTATTGGTGGCTTCGATGGTGTAGTTATCGGAATCTGCGACGCTCAGGTTCTTGATGGCGAACACGACAATGTCGTCCTTTATGGATGTTACGTATTTGCCGGGCACATTAGGCAATGGGGCATTGTTTTTGTAGCTAAAAAATACAAACTCAGAATACAAAACATGTGGCTAAGAGATGTTACACACGGCGACACGCGTTCGTGAGACGCGCGATTGCTTCGTTACACTTGGGATTTACTGGCGATTGCATCTCGTTTGCATGCAAACGCGCGACAGCATCGATACAAACGCGCGATTGCATCGATACAAACGCGCGACAGCATCGATACAAACGCGCGATTGCATCGATACATAGGCGCGATTGCATCGATACAAACGCGCGATTGCAACGATGCAATCGCCTATAAATCCCAAGTGTAGCGATGCAATCACGCGTTTGTATCGATGCAATCACGCGTTTGTATCGATGCA